GACAGCAGCTTTGCGACAAGCACATCGAGCCGTTGAACAGCTAGTCTTACAACTACATCTAATCTTGTTTAAATTGACCAAACTTTGAGCCGAAGGGACTTTATTATTTTGACAGAATGCTTTGGGTTACAGAATGCGTTAAGTTAGTAATTGTCTTTCTATTTGTAGACAAATACAATTGTGAGCAAACATCGTCTGATCTGACATGTCATTGTGAAAGAATGCCTTCAGTTACAGAATACGTTAACGAATAGTCCTTCTATTGGTGCGGAGATGTAAATACATTTGTGAATAAACATCGCCTGACATATCATTGTGAATATGCTTGAGTTACTGAAAACGTTAGTGGGAAGAACTGAAAAACGAGAATATTAAAATGGCTTTGAGTTACAAATACGTTAGCGATTCCTTTGATTTGTGTGCCCGACTGACATTACCATTGCTTCGAGTTACTGAATACGTTGGTAAAATTTTCCCATTCGTGGATGATATTCAAGACTTAACAGCTAAATTTGCTGACAGATCGTGTGAAATTAACAACTCTGCCACGAACTGCGGTCTGCAATCATTTTCTGCAGTCTGAGACCAGACCGACAAGACCGTGAGACTGCGGTCTGGGATCATTTTTGCTGCAGTCTGAGACCGGATCGACAAGACCGTGAGACTGTGGTCTGGGATCATTTTTGCTGCAGTCTGAGACCGGATCGACAAGACCGTGAGACTGCGGTCTAGGGTCATTTTTGCTGCAGTCTGAGACCGGATCGACAAGACCGTGAGACTGCGGTCTGGGATCATTTTCGCTGAGTCTGAGACTGGATCGACAAGACCGTTTTCGCTGCAGTCTGAGACCGGATCAACAAGACCGATCCGGTCCTTGTTTGGCGCAGATCATTCATTGTGTTGACTTATCCGTTTGTGGCAAGCATGGAATAATATGCTTATTAATATTCGATTGAGCGCAGCATTGGGATGGGATGAGAGATTATAAAAAGAGATGCGACACGTAGCAAAACTTGTGCGCTCCACGTTCGTTTCGTTTCTGCTCAATGCATAGAAAAAAAGGGTAGAATAGCATGGAATTGAATAGCTATACAATTCATTTAATAAGTAAACGTAGTCTATAGCATAATATATATAATCGGGCCCGTAGGATACTGCATGAGACTAACCGAATACAGGAATAAAGGGACTATCAACGGAATGAAGTGACGACGTCGAAATAGTATGAAAAAAAATGCCACATAACTCGAAGAAGTGACGACGCCGAAATAGTAATAGTGTTAATATTAAATGATTTAACGTAGTAATCTAAGCCGTGACCTACTGTATATGCCGTTTACTGGTGCTTGATATTTGTAATAATGTAGAAGACACAAAGAATCTCATACAAACTACTGTCTGTGATGTATGAATACAATTTTAAATTTGCGCAGAAAACTAATAATTTAATTTACTGCGCTTTCAACAAAAACTAAACATTTGAGTCAAGTATATCTGAATGGTTAATCTGTCTAAGTATTATTGTATATAACTCTAAACTTCCAAACAACAGCCGACGAATCCACACATCAAAATATTTGATGTCGAGCTTGAAATTAATCCCATGCCAGTAAAAATGTAACCTTACAATCTCTGTATAAATTTCGATACGATAAAATTTAATCCAAAAAGTTTTTGCAAATTGCGTTAGTATTTGGTTGCGGATAGTCTCTCTGATAATTTTTGTGATTAGAAATACATCATGCAGGATTACATCTGATTGAGAACAAAATCCGTAAGTAAAATAACAATGTCGATAATAATGATCGAGAATTCTAATAATAGATAATAAATTGTAACAAATTTCATTTAGGCATTATCCCTGATGCTCATGTTGAATACTTAATAAGGTAATAATACGGTTCTTATCGTTTCATACAAAATGCTTATACTAGAATCCAAATAAGCAAATTCAACTATAACGTAAACGTCTGAGTTGACAATTTTAGTTATATTTATGGCTATGCCGTCACTGGTGCACAGTGAAACTCGATAAGTCGGCCGCATAACATCTATTGTTTAAGTACTTGATAATATAAATTATGCGACCGACTTATTGAGTTTCACCGTGTACATGGAATACTGCATATGCGGGCAAAGTTGGAAAGACCTCACTATTTTCAGAACATTCGTACATTAGTTAAAAAAATTACGTATTGCGTACGTTGTCCGGTCTAATCTTTCTATCTTGATAATGATTATATGTTAATGTTTACTATTCAATATGCACTCACGATAATATATAAGACTGACAATTTTAACGTAAAAATTCTCATGGATTTTCTACAAAACCCGGTCCCACTTTACATTTTGGGAGTAATCCCGGCATTACTTATTATCTCTGACAGTCCATTTTCAACCCTCCCTTCAAAAATTTGGTACACGTTAGTGTGCCTTTCCTCTCCATTTACACCCCCTATTTACTACATTGCAGTTGGCAGCCGAGAAGACGAATTTATCTTGGACAAGTGCTGTTATTGGCTACCCGCTGATAACTTTAAATATGTTCGACAAAATGCGCGTAATGACGAACTTGAACAACAGCCTAGACCTGAGCGTATTTGGCCGTTCGCTCATGAGAATAAACGCCCTAACCTCAACATTATTCCGAATATTAAGACACGTCTCAAAGAATGCGTGGCGTGGCTAACATCTCATTTTACGAACGTTATTTAATAGCCATCTCAATCTATTTTGTTCTTGTCGGCATTATTGTTGGAATTTACAGAGCTGTCAGCCAATGCCAAGAACAAAATTGGCCGGCAATACCATTACTTTATGTTGGACTTTGCCCGCTTTAGTAATTAGATTCTCAGAGGAAAAGCGATGGTTAGGGATTTTGGAAACGCACTAAAAGGGTTACCACGGATTCCTTTAAACGATGTTGACGGCGATAATAATAATCCCCAACGAGATGTTCGAGAAAATATTTTGGCTATATTGCTTTTAAGCATTGGCTAGTCGTAATATTTACATATTATACAAAGCCTAAAGGCTTTGGTTGCCGATCAATTGGGTTAGCATTAACGTTAATCGCAGAAATTTGGAGCCTGAATAGTACGCTGAGTTTTTGGTACTATTATGTGTGCAATAACCCACCACCTGGGGTAAATTCCGATGGCCCCTATCTTTTGCTGTGTACAAGTGATATGGTTGTGAGTGGTTTATTTATTTTTTTGGCGTAATTAGTATTAACGCTTCATGGTGGCCGGATGTTTTCGGAATTTTCTGCAAAGTTTCGTGCTTGGATAGCGTATAATTATTGAGCTGGACTCATAAATATAAAATTTTTGTATTTATTTGTGTCGTATGATGTCAAAATTTTTATTGCAATTATTAAATAAAATTATATAAAAAATATGCAAATTAACTATTATTTGTGTGTTGATAAGCAAACGTGACGTGCGGAATATGTAGGTTTTAATAAACTAAACATTAATTTGTACAGGGTGCATACGCTTTATAAGAATTTTTTAATAAAAAATATTTATAGCTTTCAATATTAAAATTTTACGTTTATTTATAAGTACAACAAAACAGAAGACAAGTTTGAGCATATAAACATATGGTTTAAAACGTTTATTTTCTGACTAATCTACGCAATAGCCTAATAACTAAGTTATCTCCAATTACTGCAAATAGACCGTCTGTAATAATCATTATAGAGTGTAAACACCCATACTCCTTAATTGGTTAGAACCGCGTATTGAAAAAGCACACGCAAGTGCAATATTGATGCCTTACAGTTTCTGATTATTTGCACAGTATCAATTCTATTGATAGCGTTTTGATTTGTTTATAGTACCGTAAACTCTCATGAATAAGAGCCCACCATGAATAAGGGCCCCCCTATATAAAAGTGGCGATCATGTGATAAGATCTGTAATGGTTTGAAAACGGTTAACCCCCCTACCCCCCTCATCACCCACTTTATTATCAACCAATAACGCCATATATGATATATGCAGCTCATGATTATGTAATAAACGAAAATAACGCGGGCAACTGTTACGTGACGATGGGTGGCTTAAAAACAATGCAAAATGATCTACAACCAACCCATCCATGAATAAGCCCCCTTATATGATGAAGGGGGGCCCTTATTCATGAGAGTTTACGGTAATAGTAATAGTATTCCAACCACAATCCGTGAATGTGCGTTGATCTACTTTGTTGCGCAAAACTCTAATCTTGTCAAGTAAGCAGGTATCCGTTACATTATTTATCATGTAGCACCATTGTTTTGCTACTATACTGCCCGTTTTCGCCTTACGTAGGTAAAACGGGTCTCCTGACTTACACCCGGCGTATACAGCAAATCCGTAGGGTACAAGTCAAATTGGTACGCTCCACGATTAATACATTAATATGGAGGCTAAACTTATAGTTGAATATTGAAGATAAATACTTAGGTCAACGGTATATTTTGTTCCACTAACTGTAGTTAGAGTATCATATTGTTAAACCAGAGAGATAATTTTAAGCCATCTTACCATATTTTTCATAAATATGTTTGTTTGACACGGCGTACGTGTATTATAATATAGAAAACTATTCTATTGCAAGGATTATGAGATCTAATTGAAGGGTTCGGCTGAAGATAATCTTGTGGTTGAAAGATATCGTTTATCTATCATCTAAGCTGACAAAAAATTTAGCCGAGTAATATTAAGTGACAAGAATTAATGCCACATTAAGCGACGATGTGACACTGTTTGCTCGATTAGTCCAAATCTCTTGTCACTTTTCTACTTAGTTATAATCGATTGCCTAATATGTCCATTTCTTCTGTCGTTGGCACATTCCGCAGCTACTAACTGAGATTTCAGAATGCTGCATGCAGCCTTCGTAGATTGCTTGTATATATCATTATCTATTGTAAGACCACTCGGTCGATCGAGACAAAGTATTACGATCAACCTTTCCGTTATACCGAATAAATGCTTTAAGAATATATCGGGATTATTGAAGAAAAAAATTGTAATTTCAAAGTAAACGGATACTCGTTTATTGGTAAGATAAGGAATAAAATATAAGAATGTCAGATGTCTTCAATAAATAATAAATTCTGTGTTTTATGTTAATATTATCAGCAGGCATATCCCAGAGATTAGTAGTATATTTAGGATAATTTGTGGCTTTCAGCAAGAAATCATATTAATATTATAAAGGAGGAGTGGCAAACATTCCAAATAATATTATAATTGATTTTGTAAACTCAATGTCTGGTCATTGTCAAAGTATTATTAGTCGAGAAAAACGGAGAAAAAATTAATTATTAATCTGTTATTAATAAAATCTGTGAGTTTAAGTTTCCAGCTTCAAACAAACTATTTCAAATTGCTTAATACTCTTTAATACATGGAGACTTGGGTGTCATACTCCTTTTCTGTTGATGTTATGAGGACATTGTGTAAAGATTAGTGGGATGTGTTTATTATTACCTTAACGCTTATACATCCTGATTCTTGGAAGTGTTTATATTTACTCATGATGTAACTTTATCCAATACTGTTGTACTGTGTAATAGTTGCTACAATATAATAAATGTTTAGGCCATGATGTGACATGATAATGGCGACTGTGTAGAGGGATTTTATATATAGACTTCATGCCATAGTTCGGGTAACTGTGACTGTAATAGTAATATAAATAGGAAGTCGACTGTATTACTTTTATGGTCGTACAGCATATGATCACAATTCAATGTGATATATCGATGATCGGCAATTGAGCAAAATCCTGTTCCACTTAGGTCTATAATGACAATGTCTGTTCTCCAACCTTTTATTCGTACGCGGACGGTATCTTTTCCGGGATTGCTTCCAATATTCACGACGGCTCTTATAAGCTCTCCCACAGTTCAGCTAACACAGAGACGCTGGGCATCAAAGAAGGGAGGTGGTTCGTCGAAAAGTAAGACAAATCCGAGTGGGAAGAGATTAGGCGTGAAGCGGTTTGCTGGTAGGTTTGGCTGCGAATTTGTGCAAATACGGCATCAATTAGACATTTGACAACACTTAATCGTTAATATTGATTCAAGCATGACTGCTGTTGTGTTGTTTGTTTACAGGGGAGGAAGTGTCGGCTGGCCAAATCTTGGTTCGCCAGAAAGGAACACAGTTTCATCCTGGAGATCATGTGAGTTTATTTAATCGAATGTTCACTAAATTCCGCAAAGACACTAATTTAAACCGATTCGTTTCGATACAAGGTTGGTGTTGGGCGTGATTTCACACTGTTTGCATTGGAACCAGGGTATGTCCAATTCTACCGTGATCCAGGGAAAGACGGACGACGATATGTGGGCATTGTATTCAATCGTAATGATAGACTTCCACGCGACCCAACCGAGCCACGATCTCGACGATTTGGACTAATCGACGTAGCAGCATTCAAAGACGAACAAGACAGGTTACGACAACAGGCAATAATTGCACGGGAGGAAAAAGAACAATTGAAACGACAACAACAACAGCAACAACAATATCATCACCATAATAGAATAGCGTAGATTTAAATACTGCTCAAATAGACTTGTCAAATTTTATTATAATAAAGAATTAATATGCCACCCACGTTCATTCATTAACCAATTCTTTAGACCCTTTTTTGAATACATTATACACACGTTCGACATCGTCACTATTAGGAAACTGCTCTCCCAAGAATGCATGCAACGAATTCCAAAATGCATCACTTTTCATCTTATCCAAGCTTGACTTGTTTGATCCATTTTCTCTCTCCGGTGTTACATCAACTGACTGAGCATTACTCTTTACAACAAGATGAATAACATTCGCATCGCCAACATCATACTCGTACAGTGGTTTTGTATCGTGTAGAGCTTTACCCTTGAGAATTAGACGTTGGTTGGCAGGACTAACGGAAGAGAGTGGGTGGAGTTTTTCTTTTAATTCTAACACAGTTGAAGAAGAAGGCATATCGATTGTGTAGATTTGCCCGCCTTTCAGACGTTTTACTTTGACCTGGATTTGTCGGCCTGCATCTAATTTCGAAGGGATGATCAATATGCTTATTTAAAATTGAATACTCTTCCTGCATATAAATTTTTGCCCTATCTCAAAACTTTTATCCCTTGTTCATACCTTGCAAAGTCTCTTGCTGTTTTGCTTTCTCAGCAGTCTTTGGTCTTGGCACTGACGGAGTCTAAAAGCACGAACCCTGTATTACAACTTTTTTGCTGTTATACGCTACTAACATGCTCAAGTAACAACTACCTTTGAAGCTGCCCTTGACTTTGTCCAGGTTGGAGGAACGAAATCAGCATGATATCTTACGGGGAGAGAGCTAAGCGATGCAAGATAGTTCGTGGCAAAGGAAGTCTCATCGACAAGGCTCATTTTTGAGCAAAGAAAAGAATTTAAGATGCTATTTTTGCCACATGTCATGTATTCGTGCCGCAGTCGAGTTCTTGGATGATTCGACCATATTGCCATATTTGTCATGTCATCCTGCTGTGAAGTCAAGTAGGAAAGAGCGCTGACATAAAAATTGTTTGTTATATTATACTGGCAGGCGGACAGCTTACGCGTAAGCAAGCATATACTTACGAATCGTTGCATAAATTTCCTTGCGATACAAGTCTCTTAAATTCAACGCACAATAATCATTACGCCTTTCTTACACAGATGCAAATATGAATTACTTTATTTCTTGACTAATAGATAGAAAATCTATGCAACAAATGTATCTAAATAAGTTAAGCATAATAAGAAGGTGAAATAAGCAAATCAGAAAGAATGGACAATTGATTATCCGTAAACTGTTTCTTGTCTTCATGCCAAGTATCTTGATGTGTTCTTCGGAAATCAGCAAACGTTTTCTTCACCGTTGTCTATTAATGTATACAAATTGTCATCGTACACATTGTTGAGCCTCTCATTCCTTGTACACACACCACCACCCCTCTGTCTATCTCTTACCTGAATCGGCGCAGGATCAGATATACATCCTGCCAACTTTACGAGCACGTCAGGCATCCATTTTGGTATTTCATACGGGAATGCATCAACGAGACAAGACAGTCCCAAAACTGCTGCATGACGTTTAAGAACTGCCTCTGCGAACCCAGGAACAATGACGGCGTTCAGGGGTTTGTTGGTTCTCTTGCGAGATGGGATTTTTACGTTTATGAGTTCGGTGAAACGTTGCTAAAATTATAAAAAGTGAGTTGTCATATAGAAAATCTTATACTTGTCAAGTTCGTAAGGTGTATGTACATACCTCCAAAGTCGTAATTGCGTCTCTTTGTGAGCATCGAATAAGACCAGCAAGTGTCACAGCAGCCAACTGACGAACCTATCGAGACAAAACGAGTCTGTTACAAAAAGCTCAACTTGCGGCAACAAGCTCTGCATATACGAACCTCAATCTGCATATCCATCAACATTCCACTGACAACATCCATAACCTTGATCATCTCCGCCTTGGTTAGCGTGAACAAGTGTTTAAAATAGAATACCTGTATCACTGGCAGAGCTTTAACTCTCACATGCCAGCTGGGCGATTCTGTCAAGATTTCCACAAATTTATCAATCATCTGGTGGACTATAGCTGTCGGATAGGTAAAAGAAGCTATTTGATTGAGAACATGTGTAGCCATATTTTGGAGATCTTGGTCATCGTTGATATCTTGCATTTGAAAGATTTCCGGTAACAGGGGAACGATAAACGGATATGTGCCCGTGGCCTGAAAACCACATAAGGATTCGTAAAGCCAGGCGAGAACTAGAAAGAAGAAAAAGGCGGAAATTATAAAATGAATAACAGGTTTTGAAAATACATTGGGCGGTTCTCAGAAACATATGCATCTTATTCTTCGGGGTCAAATATGTAAAAAAAAAAAGTCTTACCCGTTTTCGAAGCATTTCCGTATTCTGAAGATCCCGTGGCAGTCGGAGTCTTGATTGCTCTCCATTCAGCCAGAGCCTTCACCAAGTTATCGAGAATCTCTTCGACTCTTGCGTTACATGTTGTAGGCACGTATCCTACCCCCCCAGATACTTCCCGATGACTCTTTAACAACGTCTCCAAATCCCCATATGATGGATACCATTGTATTTGCAACAATAAATTAATATTAGCTGCCATAACATCTCTCACTTGTTTATAAGGATGTCGTACGTTAGCTGTGAATATTTCTACTAGAGACATCGATTGAGGCGTTATACGCCATGAAAAAGAATTAATTACAGTGTTTATGAAATATAATTTTTTGGCTTCGTTGAATGATGCATGCGAAGTCGGATCAAAATGAGATTGAAGGACGAGCTCGATAAGAGGATATACTCTGCGTGGGTCTCGGTTACGCTGTGCGGTCCAAAAAGAAACAGAAATTATAACTACAAAAACATTGAGAAAAAGTATACAGCTCATAACGGTTCTACTTACAAGACAGTACCCAAGAAACTTATCCCAGTATATCAGCGAATCCGGTGTAATAGCGTTAAAGGTCTTATCCAATAAAGGAATCAACCACGCCCACAATGCGTCCAATTTTTCTACTTCCCAATGCTTGCTCCCTCTAACTAACCCAGCCAACATCTCAGCTGCAGCCCGCTGCTTGTTCTTCTCTTCAGAAGCGCTGCACAATGCATTTACTTCTGGTTTGAGCATATCAAGCGCCTGATCGTCGTATATTTGGAATATACTCTTAAATAAATTTGCATTAACAGTCGAGAAAACGTCGTCTTTGTCACGGGCCAATTCTTGCGACATGTATACGGACAACGAGTTCCAGAATTTTGCAGATGTAAAGTGCGTTAGCATAGAAGAATAGGTTGCAGAAGACTCGGCATCGATCGGGAATAGGGTAATTGATGACGTGCGTGGGATATAGCCTGTAAAGGAAGTTGGCCAGAGCAGCCAACCAATGCTGTTCTTTTCTTGAAATACACTTGTAGATGGAAAAAGTGAAAGTCAGTTAAACGATGGTTGAATAGTCAATAATCGGATAGTTTGTGGTTAATATAGACAGCGTATATTAATCAACAACTAACCATCAAACAATCACGAAATCAATACAAACATGTTTTCAGTTTTACTCTTTGCAATAGAGCTCAACCCTGTTGTCAAATAATCAGTAACATATCCATTTGGCAAGGGTCTAGGAGTTGTGACCATTTTTTTCAATGGATGTTTTCTATCGTTGAGTGGTAATAGTTCTATTTCGCCTTGGTGATATGCTCGTTGCTTCATGTAAAGAAGTATTTTCGTCGTAGCTATTATCGCTATACGTCGTAGGGAGGGAAGCTCGGATACTAGACTCTTGACTACAAAGTCTGCTAACTCCGGTTTCACTCCTGCCTCAGGACGAATAAGCACATCCAAAAAGTTGGTGACCATCAGAGTAAAGCGCCAGTGAAGTGTGTTTGAGTTTACTAATTCAAGAAGAGCTCCCACCTAGTGAATGTAAAAACAACAGTGTTATTCGATGAGTGCGCCATGATGATCCAACAGCAATAAATTCAATACTGCATATGGCATGCACTCAGTATCTTTTAAAAGTTACCAATTCAAAATAATTCTTCTTTTGCAATGTCATTTTACGCTCCACTTTCTCCTGGATATCCCTGTAACGATTCTCGTTTATAGTCACTGATGACGTTTTTAATAACGTGTCTATTGCGTTGTTTAACCCTTCGGTTAATTCAACTTGGAATGCAGTATTTCCGTAATTGATCAGATAATCGTAAAACACTCTCCGTATTAATTCTTGCACAGATGGCTAAATAAATGATGATGGGTTGCATTAATCAGTTAATCTCAACATGACTGTCCAAAGTCACAACGACGACATGATGTTATATCTGCTGACCTTGTCTTCGTGTTGTGCTTGACATATGTGCATAATAAAGGATGGAACAAATCGCCAATCACGTAGACAGGTATGCATATAGGTACGTGAATTAAGGAGATATAGGGCGCCTTTCATTCTGTCCGGGTGAGCATTCTCTAAAATAATATTTATCAAAAGAGAGTTTAGTTGACTCGGTATATTACATTTTAGCACACATTTCTCTGCATTCAATTACCTCCGGCTTCAAGCGCACTTAATAGTTTTGGTATTATTAATGGTTTGGCTCCAATGAAACATCTTGAGGCATTACTCAAATAAGCTTGCGCTATCCTATTCACGCAAATATAGGAAATTTAATGAGAATATTACTTATATCAAGTTCATTGTTACAATTAATTGGGTATAGTTTACCTTCTAATTTCGGAATATAAACTTAGAGACAGTTCAGTCAAGTCTCCCAACAGATGATCATGCAGTCGCGTTCGAGGGCGGTTGAATGCATTCTGCTTCAATCGACATAAATGGCGTTGATATACACGTTTCACTTTGTAAGCGAAAGCATTAGGTAAGTTATGGGTATATGGGAACAACATATAAGCTCATACGCAAAAGTTGCATATTTTTCTCACCCAACAGGTATCGTGGATAGCTCTTGTCATGGTGAGAAACCTTCAGTATATCCTTCTGATAATTATATCCGCGCCTGCTGGCATCGTATTTAGACTTGTCAACACCCCGATTAGTCAAGTACAATTTTATCGCCTAGCACAAATAAAGAGATAGGGATTCAGCTGCCATATTAAATGATATGATCAAAGTATCAAATGTCAGTTACTTTTAACAGAATCTTCAAGCTCTCAATGTCGTTTTCTCGATTTGTGCGGAAATAAGTTGCGAGTTCGTGTAAGAATTCTCCCAACTGTCTACGCAACTGTCGCGCTGTGTGAGTTCGTGCGTCTTTTGGATCAACGAAACAATATCCAGAATACAATTTTTTCAATGGCCGAACAGAGGCAGTCTCATCGTCACTACAAAAATACAACAAATGCGAAATCAATTCCAACCATTCAAAAACTACCAGATCAACTTCTCCTCTTCTTCTACATAATCTCTCTCTTAACTTTCGACGTACCTAAACTCTGATAAGCTACTATCTCCATCATCATAAACCATCGTATTTGTTCCTGCTAAACAATTCCTGACAATACTTAAATGTCGACAAAACTCATTCGACATTTCACGAGTACCCAACGGTTTGCCCTCTTCATCTGTTCCAGTAGCCATCAACTCTTTTAGTCTGGTGATCGACGGCTTTAGGAAAACGTCAAGCAATTCCAATGCAAAGTCTTTCTCAGCATCAGAAGGGACGTGCCAGTCGATTTTAACGTCATGTGAATCACCAGGCTTGCCCCAGTATTTGTAGTGATTTTGTCTGTACTCTAAGCAAAAGGTCAAATTTCAATAAACAAGGTGAGATACGTACAGTAAATTGTAAAACCAATAGGAGAGTGTTCAGTATCTTCACCACATGTTTTTACGCAT